CACAACGGCCAAATGGGTCAAAGGGAGGCATACAAACACGGGCAAATGAACATCATTACAAAGCCTTTCGGTTGGACAACGGCAACACATCGTACTTGGCATTGCCATGTGCCCGATCACCTGCATAACCACCAGGTGACAACATAGCACATTGTGTTGAAACTCCTATTTGCCAGTCATGGCGCATGTGTCAGAAACAGGAGATACCACCAACGGACGGACAGGCAAGCCATACATACGACATATTCACCAGGCTGTAAGATGTGTTCGGCACGCAAGCAGGTTGAGCGAACACTCTGATCCCAAGCACGTCAATGTATCTTCAACACTCCAGTGCAGTTGTTGACTAAGCGCCTGTTCCCACGGCCGGGATGGGACAAATATGTGTCACCTCATGCATTTGAAACATGGGGGGGACGGATCACGGTCTCCATTGGCTGGAATCCGCGATTAAAATTTGGACACACGAACCAGCGGGGATATGGAGGAGCAGGGATATGGGGGGATTCCCTTGGTGCAATTTCCCATATCAAACTTAGTCAAGGCGCATTTAGGGGGAGTCCTCCCGTAGCCCTGGTTTCCTGTATCCCTGCTAGTTGGTTTCCCTCAAAAATGGGCTCGAGCCTTGTCAACTGCTTGAAAAGCGAGGCAGCTGCCTCTTATTTGCACAATGCATCACGGCGACTGGTGGACACCCATGCACCCTTGTCTCCCAGTTCAACAATAACAAGCAGCCTGGCCCAACAACAAGGGCTTGTATCCTTTGCACTGCTAGGTCATCAACAGCTGGAAAAGGGCAGGGCTGTGTGTACTGGAACTTATTCGGGGGTCACAGGATTTTAGCACCAACACCAGCTATAATCCAACTAAGTTTTTCCAGAACGGTGATTCATAAGTTGCATGTTTATTGTTGCTTCCTCCCAGCTTGTCTTAATAATAAGAAGCACAATCATTGTTGATGATTCCCCAAACCCCGAATCTTCCGGCGTCTTGCGCAGCCACAAGGACGGTGTTTACGCAACGAAACACCCCGCTCACGTTGCAAGTGTTAAACTTGGTGGCAGCATGCAAAAACTCTACAACTCAATTATTGCGTGCGTTTGAAGAAAGGATACATGACATGATGTGTTTGTTGCCAATGGTGGCTGAAACTGCCCCAGTTTGCATGAAGGGGACATGACATTCCCCCCCCCCCCGAAAACTGCAACAGTTTGGTCAAAGCTTGAAACAAATGGCACACGGCCTAAGGGTGTGGCACCAACACACAAACCGTTTATTTTTATTTGTTTGTTTTTGTGTAAGAGAGAAAGCACAAACACCAAAACGTGTTTTTTGCTATGTCCATCTTGGCAATGTTGAGGCAATGTGGCACGTCCATGCGCCTCGCACGCGGCGGGCCGCGCGGGCGGCGCCCTGCAGCAGCTCGAGGCGGCGCTTCAGCAGCGACCAGCGCCAGCACCGCTGGATGCAGAGTCTGCCGAGCCGGAGATGCGAAAAAACAACAAGGATTTAGGCAGAAAAGTCAGAAAGAAATTGAAGGCTTCAGGGAAAATTGTTTGCTGTGAGCGGTTTTTCGCTACTTCGACGGCGCAAGGGACTGTGGCCCCCAGCGCACAGCGGCGGAGCGTGGCAGCGGTGCGAAGGTTGCAGCTGAGGGAGCAACGCTCCCCTGGCAAGTCACAAGCACGAGGGCTCTCGCTTGAGCTCTGAGACCCTGGCGGTGCGCCCTCCAGGCAGCCTGCGGTTCTCGCCGGTAGCACTTGCAACTTGCTATGCGTTTTCTATGCGTTTTCTATGCGTCTTCTATGCGTCTTCTATGCCTCGGTATCTCTACACAAGGGCGCCTGCACGCACAGCGCCGCCGCCGCCTGGCACCATAGTGTCTGAGACCTATGGATCGGCGTGGATCGGTGTGGATCGCGTGCCTGTTTTACAAAGCGCTCCGGCAAGAAGGGCACCGGCCGCACGAGTGGCGCATCGCCGCCTGGGAAAGAAATCGCTGTCACATGCTGTCAACGGTCACCTTGCCTGTGCCCGCAAAGTGCAGCATGAAAAGGATGAACCGCTCTGCCAAGCGAGGGGTCCTTGCAGGATGGGCTGAGCATGTCTGACTCATGTAACATTTGCTTGACAGTCTTATGCTAAGAATCAAACTCGCAGCAGCAGCTCACAAGTGGCTGGGACAGCCAAGTAGCCTCAGTATGGAAGAAAAGTCTTTCGGACCGCCACTCGCACACAGTCATGCAGCGATGCCATGATAAGGTCGCAAGATGACATCTCTCGCTCTCGCTCTCCCTCTCTCTCTCTCTGTCTGGACATTCCCCTGCCCCCTCGTCAAGGCTGCAGCATCACGGTAGATCTTCTTGCCAGTGGCCGGATCATGCTGGCAGGGATTGACACCGGGAGATTTCAGAGTGACGAAAACTGAAAGGCCGAACGACGTGGCACGTCCGACATCGCCATCCCCCCCTCCCGCACCTGCGCGATGGGCTTCCCATCCTGGCACTTTAAGGGCTTCCCTGATAGCACGCATCGCAATCGCGCCTCCTTGCGTGGCCGGCTACCGAGGCGCCAGGCCTGGCAAGTGCTAGACTTCTGATCCGGCACGGACGCATTCTGATTTCTCTCCTAAGGGCCTGTGTGGCAGCTTCAGATCTTTATCAAGCATGAAGATGCTTAACTGTTGCTCCTTCGATTGACAAAGCTCCAACACAAAGGGCTAACCGGCTGTCAGGTACATAGCTTGGCCTTGCAAATTGCAGCGAAACGTAGCAGTAGCAGAAATCGCAGTGATTTCGCTTACGGCTCCGACGGAGCGCCTCGTGCAGGAAGCGCATGAGTGTCGGGTCTTTCTCGGCCACCTGGGCCGCCAGCTGCGCCTCGCGCGCGGGCGGGCCTGAGCTTGCGAGGCCAAAGAAATCTGTTGGCGACGAATTCATCTGAAGGCTGTCTTAAGTGAAGGGACTTTAGATGAGTTTAGATGAGTGTAAATTTAGGTGACGCTTGGATTGGAGTCTTGACGCTCCCAGAGTGCAGGGCTGTCAGCTTCGCTCTGCACGGCTTGTGCCACGGGGCAGTCCGCCCTTAGCAAGTGGCAGGGAGAAGCTTCAACACCACAGGCCGCGTTTAAGCTCCCAGCCCTTCCACCAGCTCCTGCATCATGGCATCCACAGCCACCTCCTCCTCGTCCCCGCGGGGTCTGAGCCGCTGAAGGTAAACTCCCAAGGCCTCTCACACAGGCGGACTGCGTCTATTCGTCTACTCTCACTTGCGATCCCTCTGGAAACTGGGAGGCGGCGACCTCCGCCTCTTTCTCCATCCCTGGCATCATCAAGCAGCACCTACGCAAGAGAGAACTTGCCCTACATGCAGTCTGCATGATGCATGGTGATATCTATGTGCTCTACACTCTGACTCGATGGGACTCAATCAACTGAGGCTCTGGCAACATCCCGACATCCGGCTCACCTAGCTGCACATCCACCACCTGTGTGCGCCCCGTTACGCTATGGGGCCTGCGTTTGTGACATACCCAAAAAACTCGAAACAACACGCGTCAGTACACCGTTCTCATGTACTCTGGAAAAGGGCATGTGACCCAAACCTCGAGAAAGCAAAAAAAAACAATGCCCTGAGGGGAAAACAGCTCTGGAGAGGAGCACAGCTTGAATGAAATTAAGCAAGCACACATCCACGTACGCAGACACGCACGCGGCCATGCCATGCTTGATTGTGTTTGATTTCATTTGAGTCGGTGCCTTCATCGCATTGTCAAAATAAGCAACCATTCTTGCAAAGATCTTTTATGAGGATAGGGCCATTCTTAGGAGGGGCACTCATGGGGCTTGCGTGGAGCGTTCAAAATACTTAATTTTCCTTCAATATAATTCAAGTTGTTTTGGGGCGACTTTGGGACACAAATGGATTGGATTTGCATTGAATGCCTGCCAATGGCTCATAGCTGCGCTAGTAGTCCAAGGTTTTTCACGTTCTCATTAAAGGGCCCCTAGCATGATGCGCTTAGCACACGGTGTTCATCATGCATTTAAAACCGATGTCAGGAATCGCAGCATGCCACATGTTGTTGCCAAAGCAGGTGGTCAAAGAACTCTGAGCCATGCCGTCCCACAAGAAGAGAAAGACGACGCTGCCAGAGTTTCTTGGAGATATACTGGCCAACTCGTATGACTGAGCATGAGCCACACTGAGGTTTGGCAAAATGACTTGTGACATGTGTTTTGTTTGCGAAGGCTTGTTTAGCCAAGGCATATGCAGGTGGCGCCCTTTGCGGAGCGATGTTACCCTCCTGGCTATATGTATGTTCAGCTTGGACAGCAGCAACCTCCTGGCATGCAGCTTTACCATCAGGCAGCGCAGTTTTCTGGGCAGTTTAGCCCTGGAGTCCCAGGTTCCAGTTCAAGGGGCCACCCTGGATCTGATGTGACCCCGTCTGAAGGGGGGGATGATGACGATGAAGAATATGAAAGTGCCTTGATTGCACCCACGATTGTTGGGCAGCTCTAGCTGGGTGTCTGTTCAGGCAGAAGGGGGGACAATGCATTTTTGCATCAGGCAACCTTGGGAGTGATGATGATTCGAGCCTTGCACGCACTTGACTCACTTGCGATCCGTTTGCCCAACACAGTAGTCTCACTTGCATTGCCCTGTCTTTTCAATTGCTCCAAGCAGCATTGCGTTGGCAGCCAAAAGGTCCAGCAATGCCAAGAAGAGGAAAACAAAAAAGAAGGGCAAGAAGGGCAAGAAGGGCAAGAAGAAGAAGAAGCCCAAGAAAGGGAAAGCGAAGGACAAGCGGGACAAGTGCAAGAAAGGTGGGAGGTTTGCAGCATATTTTTTAAAAAAAAACAGAAGCAGGGGGCCAGCGTATGTGCTTCTTACTTGTGATTCAGCCTTGGTGGAGGCGCCACGGATGAGTCAGACTCTGAAAGCACAGATGCAAAATCTAGCTGCTTGCATTGCAATGACTGGCTGGTTGCTTGCAAGGGTTTTGCGCGGCTGTTGGCTAAACTGTTCAATCAAGGGGTTTGAGCGTGTCTTTTTAGAGGACCAAAAAAACGAGGATTTGCCTTTAGCTTCCTGTTTCAAGACTACCAAAAAAGGGGCGCCGTCAAAAAAAACAGGCCCATTTGTGTATTTTCAGCTGACCTGGCCGGTTGCAGTTTTCAGTTCATTTTTGCATGTGTGCGTCTTGGGTGCTGGCCTTCACGCCAAGAGTACACTGCTTGCGTTGTGCGCAGCCACTGGGGGAACCGCTACTTGCGCGGTTTGGATCCCTTGCTTGCTGCCGGCCTTGCCATGACGCAAGCTTGTGCCGAGCAGGCCCCAAAACCCAACCCCTGGTTTTTCCAGCGGGGGAGGCTGGTTCCAGGCCGTCCCACACACACACACACTTGTATGCGTGCGCTTTCCTGGGCTGTCACGAGCCCTGGCAATGAGTTGGACAAGAAGAAGGTGCCAAAGGTCCACCTTGCCAGAAATGAGACCAAAGGTGGGAAGGTGAATGTGCTGTGCCGCATGGACCAGCTGAGGTTCTTGAAGCTGGTTGAGCCATCCAAATTCGTGGATGGAGTGAAGGAGCAGCTTTCCGACCAGCAGGTCGGGATGGCCTTTTGGCTGGGCTGTGGGATCCCTCCTTGGCATAAGCTTCGGGAGATTAGATGCAGAAACCTTGGGCAAGTGAGCTTTGGCTGAGTGCATGGGTGCCACTGTGGTTTGCGCGCAAGAGGAGGCCATGTCATGTGCGTCCAGCAGCGCATTTCAGGAAGGAGCGGCTGCTAGAGGCCAGGCAGAGATTCTGGCGAGGGTGAGTGACAGATTGCTGGAAGTCCAGGATGATTTCGGGAATATAGAAGCGTGGCATTGTTTGGTTTCCAGGTGGTAGCGTGGCTTTGCCTTGGGTGGGTGCATGGATTGTATGGGCCTCAAAGTAAGGAAGAAGTCGCCGAGCAGTTTGGTTGGTCTGAAGTGGTGCAGGGCAAAGTGCCTGGGACGGCGGCGACTTGGTTCTTTTTTTTGACTGCACTAGCGTGCTGGGATGGTTCCATGTTCTTGTTGCAAGTGTGTCGCGATCGTTATTTCGTCAGTTTGAACCACACAGGGTTTCGGCAGCCTAGGCGCCGAGTGACAACCGGCCTGTGTATTTCATGGAGCTGTCAAAATGCGGTGACACTTGGCTCAGATGCAATGACGGCGCCTTGGCTGTCCTTGGAGACATGCTGCGTTGTGCAGTGCTGAGCATTTCCTTGTGGGCAGCGAAAGAATGCAGCAAGAGTGGGAATGCATTCTTGTTGCTGAGAATCTTGCTTGCAGCAGAAGGGCATCGCATTGAACCCTTGGACCAAATCCACTGCCTGCAGACAGCGTTTGTCAGACTTCACTACTTGGCCAACGAGATGGACAGGAAGAGTGGCCTTGGCCATGGTGCCGCGAATGGAGTGCTTCTGGCACAGACAGCATGCAGACATGTCGGTGACACAGTGGTGGTGGAAAATTCCCACCAAAAGGTGAAAGATTTGCTTGCGGCTGCAAGACACGACCAGATTTCTAGGAGTGGGAAATTCCACTCATTGGTGAACTCCGGCGTCTTGGAGGGGAGGCAGTTGCCAAGCTTGAGAGTGACTCCTGAACAGATAGCTGCTGCCAGCGCAGGCAGAGGCCTTGGGCAGAAGATCGCACAGGCCACCCACCCAAGTTCTCACAAGATGAAGAAGGAGTTTCACAATGTGATGAAATACAAAGCCAGCTCCCCTGACTTCACTTGGCCAAGCAGTTCTCACACCTCTCTGCTCCTTTGTTGATTTAGATCTGGTGCGGCATTGTTTGATTTTTTTTTTTTGGTGGCAGTCCTGCCTTCCTATGGCATGTCTCTGCCACGAGCTTGGAAAGCCAAGGTTTGGAGAAGCAGCTGCCTTGGAGCTGTTGCTTTCAAAAGGCTTAGGTATGGAGCCGAAGGATTTCAGCCCCAGTGTCGCTTGCTTGGTCGGTGCCCCTGGCAGCTTTGTGGCTGGAGAGAAGGGCAGTGTGATGGTTGTGGCCAGAGAGAAGGGCACATTTTTTGGCTTGGGAAGCAGTGGGCGAGCCGCATGATGGCCTCCACCAGCTTGGCACACAGCAGACTTGCAAGACCTGGCCATTCCGACCCGGCCAGTTCTCAAGAACAAGTTTGGTCCCATGGTCTTCCAGCAAACTGGGGCACCTGCAGAACTGGGGCACAAGTTTTGGGGCACGGCCAAAAGCCAGCTTCCAAAGCCAAACAGGATTTGTACATGCAACTATTTTCGCTGTTTCTAGACAGCGAGGCAGAGCAAGAACACGCGCTGCTGAAGTCAGATTTGAAAAAGACAGCTGCTGAGGATGTTCAATCGGATCTGAGTGACTACGAGGACCTTATAGAGCAGGCAGAAGAAACTGGCAACTTGGGAGACCCTGACTTGAAGAGCGAAAAGAAGAAAGCGAAGCAAACAAGGGCAAAAGCAGCCCTGAAAGAAGCTGCGAAGAGCTTGCAGAGCCGGGCTGCAGCGCGGGCCCGTGGAAGAGGAAGGGGTAAGGGAAGAGGAAGAGGGAAAGGGCAGCAGCACTTCCCAGATTTACTTGCAGAGAGTGAAGCTGAAGAGAAAGCCAGGCTTGAGGCTGAAGAGAAAGCCAGAGGGCTTGCGGCTGAAACAGCCAGGCTTGCGGCTGAAGAAGCGGCCAGGCTTGAGGCTGAAGAGAAAGCCAGAGGTCTGGCTGTTGCAGCTGGACGCAGATTACGTCAGGCAGCCAGCCGTCAACGCCTTCCTTCAGAGCACCAAGGCTTCATGAATCCCCCGGCATACTTGCTCAGCTTTGCCCGCCAGAAGGAGTGTTGCAGTTGAAGCACCAGGATCACAGACACTCGGCGCCCTGCAAGCGGGCAAGTGGCCATGTCTCAAATTACGGGAAGGGGCTTCCGCCATAGAATGTTGGTTGTGTTCTTTGGTCTTCACTTTTGCAGCCGTGGCTTGCATTGCTTGCGCCAAGGATGGGTCGCCACTTTCAGAACTGATTCCAGCTCTGAGTTTTGGACTGTGGAGCCATACTGTCAGAAGTTGTTTGGTAGAAGTTTTGACAGCAAGCACGCGTCAGAAGGGAAATCCAAGCTGAGCGAAGTTCACGATTGGATGTGGACCAAGTGGTTCTATGTCAAAAAAGACACGCCTTTCAGGCTCGGGAAAAACAGGTGGAACAGACGCCGGGAGTCATCAAAGATGACGTAGCCAGGAGTTTGGAATCTGTCGTTTCAGAGCTTCCGCCCAAGATCAAGTACCCCAGGCGCTGAAAAAAACACTGTGGCAGATAGCGCGAGAGAGAGAGAGAGAGAGCGAGAGACAGAGAGAGAGGGGGAGAGAGAGAGAGAGAGAGATAGAGACGCACAGCGCAGCCAAGTTGTTTCTTCCAGGAATGTGCTGGCTCTTTGTGATGGGGAATGTTTCGGCATGAGACAGAAGTTTTTTCGAATGAAACAGAAGTACTTTGAATCAAACCGAATGTTTCTGAATGAAAACGACTTTTCCTGAATGTTTTGGAACGCCGCAGCTTGTGTGATGAGTAGCCCTTTGATCAGTAACCCTGACATCATAAATGAAAAAATAAGGTTTCTGTCTTGGTATTGAGTAGCATTGCTGCGAATCGGGCCTCGGGTGTGTAATTCGGGTTATGCGCAAGGCGCAAGGTACTGCATCGCTTCCAAGAGTGCAAGCGTACATGCTTCCGGACTGCTAGCACTCAAGGCGCAGCAAGGACTCGGTCAGCGGCAACTTTGCTTCGAATGCACACAGTGTGACTTACAGGCCTGTCGAACAATGAGTTTGGCGAGGCCCTTTTGCTGCGCTCTCTGCTCCTGGCATGGGATGCGAGAGAAACAAAGGAGCGCTCTTGGGTAAAGCCGCAGAGCCTCAAGCTTCCTCTGGCCAAAGTGGATGCAGGTGGGCATCGCCTCGAGAGAATTTCGAGAGCTGAGCCCCCTCTCTGCCCGCTCCGCAAGCGCGCCTGCGAGAGATGCAAATGCTCCCTGATGGTGCGGTGAGTCGCCACCACTGGATCCTCAGTCCCAAGTTCCTTGGGTCACTCAGTCCAATTTGTGGAGTTTCCGCTCACACCCCGTGCCTCTCCATTCTTCAACTTCACCTCCGGAAAAAAGCAGCTGTCGGTGGCCGTCCTGTCCGATGCAATTGCGAAGATGGCATAAGTGGCCCCTCCCACCTCGTGCCGAAGAGATTCCACTTGTTGGCTTCACCTTGCAGGGGACGGAAACGCGGAGAGGCGCGGATCCGCAAGCAGGCCTTCCAACAAAAGACAAAGCTGCGGCTCATGCCACAAACAGAACGCCAGGTCCGGCGAAACCCAATTTCGGGGCCTTGCCTTCGATGAACTGGCGAGCGCTCACCAGGAAGTTGCCCTGGATGGCAGAATATGCCATGAACTCATCTCACGAACTCAGGAACTGATTCGAGCAATCAACTCGCCTTGGCGCTGCGTACACGCAGCATGAGGACCTCCTCCAAGAGCCTTACGTTTCTTGCCGCTCGCCCAAAGCCGCCCACTTAGAAGACTTGTTGCTGTTTGAGGCGGTTCGGGAGTAGTGCTCGTTCCGGAACGCTCGCTTTGCATGAGCAGCGCTAGAGAGCGAGTGGGATGAACACAGCATGCCAAGCCTGAACACAGTGCGGGCACAAAGGGCCAATGCCCAACGCGCATCTTGAAAGGGTCAATACCCGATGCGCCATCCAACAACCCCATCTCTGCGTGAAGCGAGAAGAAGAAGATCAAGAAAAAGAAGAAGAAGAGACAACGGACATGCAGGCCGCATGGGTGAGGTGAAAATCAGGGACGCCAAGTCTGTCTAACTTTGGCATCAGGAAGCTGTAGGTCAGCAAAGCTGCACAGCCCCGTCAACGTAGACGCGAGCTGTTTTGACAGCATTTCATCGTCCTTTTAAACAGACTGCTGCTAAATTGTTGGAAACCCGGAACTCGTGAGTGGCCCCCCCCACGTCCTCAGGAATACCAGCGGTAGGAAGGAGCAAGGCTGAAAGCTTGAACGCGCTCCCCGAGGCGTTTGCGTTGCACGCCCAGAGATGCCAATGAGAGCTCATCCCCTGCAGACCGATGAGCAATGAAGTTTGCCATAGCGGGGCCCACAAAGGCGGCCGCGAAGGGCAAGCTCCAAGAACCTTTGCCTAGTGACAAAACGAAAGCACCACAGCGGGCAAGCAAAAAGCTCTCCTGACCGAGCGAAGTGGAACCCAAGCATCAACAAAACTGCTGTGGAATGCCAGGATTTCTCGAAAGCAAGCTGCGAGGGCTGCGCATGACGACCAGGAAACCCGGCCGCGGCCAAACGGCTGATCCAAAGCTGCATGCACCGAGCTCATCGCACAAGTGACTGCTACCTTGCTTCCAGCTGTCGAGCAACAGGCTTCTATGCATGGGTGAAAAGGGAGACCTGGAGCAGAAAAGGTCGTCTTTGTACGGCGAGAATCTTTTCTGGCAGGAGTGCGCCTCGTATCAAAAACGGACCATTGGCGCGTATACGCGTGCTTTGCTGTTCAACCGAAGGGCGAGGCCTCTGAGCTGGCTGATTGCTCTTGATCTTACAATTTGGACTCGCAACCATATGCACTTTCTGGGACGAGTTCACATTGTTCAAACAGTAGCTGACAACAGCTGAAAAGCTATCTAGCCACTACTTGAGTAGCCAAGCAACTTGGCAAACAATGACCTAAACTCACTGGTTTTGCAAAGGACCTTGTGCTCCGTGCGGGCGCGGACTTCACAGTCTGCTTTCTGGGTGGCCGGGCAGCAGCTCCCCGCCATCCCGGCTGAAGCCGGGGGAGAGCTGAGACGGCCTCCCCATGCAAACACCAACACCACCGGACATTCTTTTACCCTCGCATAGCCCTTCCTGCCTTCTGTCTCTTGCGGACTTCCTCTCCCAAAGTCGAAGTCTGAGGCAGGGGTGCTAGGCTCGCCAGGCTCTAGGTACTTTCCAAAACCCGACCATTCGCAGCTTGCAGCTGAATGCATAGCGCTTTGGCTCCGGCTGGCCGCGAGCCACTTCTCCAGCCTGGCCGACACTCGGAGACCGGAACTTTGCGCTTTCTATCTGAGTTTGCAAGTTTGCGCTTTGCTCACCACATCCTCCGGACATTGCAAATGCTTTGCAAATGCTTTGCTATTGCCATTTGCCTCACTTTTCCCGAGGGTCCAGCGAAGCGGGCTACGGTGCGCAGCGGCTTCTCAGAGACTGCGGCATTGGAGCGCAGGAAGCCTCCGTACCCCGAGGCATACCCAAACTGCTACCAGTCCTTAACCAACTTAATCTGTACAGGAGAGAAGTTCTTCAAGCGCCTTCGAAGCTATTAACTTAATCAAGGGATGTCTTCGAACCTGAAGCCAGGGTCTAGCCTGTCTGCGTGTGTCAAACCAGAAGCTACAATGTCTCCCTTGTCTGCGAAACGTCGTCCGTGCAAGTGTCCTCTTTCTTCGTCACACGCGCACGTTGTCAGTGCAGCTGGGGCATGCTGGGATGTGTCTCTTGTGTGTCACGCGTTATCCCTAGCCGGCCCGGCATGCTTCTTCTGTTTGTCGCGACACCTTGGCTGCGCAACCGCGGTGCTTCTTTGGTCTGTTGTCCGTGCAGCTGGGTGGTTTCTTTGGCTGCCACACGTTGTCCGTACAACTAGGGCGTGTTGCCGTGTCTGCCGCGCGTTGTCCGTACAGCTGGGGCGTTTCTTTGTTTCTTTGTCTGCCACACGTTGTCCGTACAGCCGCAGTGCTTTGTTTCCCTGACACACGTTGCCCGTACAGCTGGGGTGTGGTTTGTCTGCCACACATTCTCCGTGCAGCTGGGGTGCTGCTTTTTGCGCCTCTACGCTAGGGTGTTCGCGCGTTGTTCGCACAGCTTGCGTGCTTTTTTGGAGTTAAATCCTCGAGGCCTTGTGCCCTTTTCCGGTCATGTTCCGAGGTTAAACTCTGGTTGTCCTTTGGCCCCAAACTTGCCGGTGTCATGCTTTCCGGCGCTCATGCCTTGGCTCAAGACACAAATAAACTCAAACATAGTGTCGCATGAATGAGAGAGTGTTAAAAGATCCTTGCTGCCACTCCTTCTGATTCGCTTTGCCCTGCAGATCCAACCGGGCAAACGCGCAGCCCCAAAACTGACTCACGAATCCTACAGTTCAATACCGGTTGGTGTTACAATGTTCCAACAAGTCTACTGAGAGGACTTGTGTGTCCTGGTTATCACTTGCAGGTGCAATACAACATGATTCGTCCTCCCGACAGGTTATCAGCCGCAGGGCGGCTCTGCAATATCAAGGACAAGCGGTGAATAGCTCATCGACATCAAGTAAACAACATGGATTCAGAGGACACCAGTGCTACATTTAGTCAGTTCCGTGCTTTGTGCACTCCGAGTCGGGATGCACTCGGCACTCGGCACCGGCGCACCGTACTTCGCCAGCAGCTCTTCCAGCGGTTTGCCCCGGAGCTGCTTGGCCTAGGTCGCGAAGGGTCGCGAAACCCGGAACGATGCGCGCAGTTCCTCAGAAGTCTCTCAGGTCGCTTTACATCGGAACACTGGAACACCGTTGCTTTACGCGGCTTAAGTCATACAAGGCTCATGGTGAAGTCAATCGTCATTGTAGGCTCTTCTTTTCACAAGCTAGTGTCACTGTCAGCAGCCTGGAATGCTTTGCAAGGTTGGTACTTGCATATCTTTCTGACCAAAGAACTCGCCAAATTAAATGTGCTCTCAAATGCCGCTCATCTCGCTGGCAAGACCCTCTCGCATGGGTAAAGCCGCGCTGCGACTAACTTTTCAGACAGCTGGGCAAATGCAGTCTACCTTGAAGGTTTCCTCGTAGTTAATCTCTGCATGCGTAAAGAAAGCGAGTCACGGCCCCAATGCCAGCAAAACCACAATTTGGTGAAATCAGTGTTCTTTTCCGGTCCTGGAACTGCTCGCGTCCAAATGTTGCATCCAAGTTGACAACTCATGTGATATTCAGGACCAATTAGCACCTCCGCAATATCGCCAAACGGCAGGGCCAACGCCGAGCTAACGAAGTACACATCACCCATCTTCCAATTGCCAAAACACTTCGCGCAGCTTGGGGTCCCACTGGAATTGCTCGGAAGTTCCAGAGAACTGGGTCATCCTGGATAGGCTCCACGTGCACCTTGCGGTGGACGAGTCTTGCAAGTGCTGGCAAGGAGCAAACAAAACGGGCGCTTGCCTATGCACACCGCAAATAGCTTGGGCACATACTCACTTGCCTGCTTGGACCCAACTTTGCCCGAAAGGGGACCAGTGCAAGAAATGCCATGACCAAAACACAGCGGTCAACAAGAAACATCCAAGCAAGAGCTCAGATGAACCCCTAGCCTCCAACTTGGAGGCTGCTCTGGGTTTTTGTTTGGAAAAACTGCCCCCCTCACCTGCACGCCCAGCTTCTCGCATTCGCTCTCCTCCGCCCAGCACCACTGACTTAGTGACAATGGCAAAAGCAAAGTGGGCAATCAACACGGGCCCAGCTTCATTGACAGTTGGCTTTCTTCAATCTAGACTTGCACATCGCAAACATGTGGGTGACCGGCATATCTTCTGCCGGCAGGAACGAGGTGCGGAAGGGCTTTTCCCCCGGGATGCCAATCTGCGACCTGCAATGGGCCAATGTCTCCCTGCAGTCTCTGCACAAACCGTGTGGTCGCAAGAATTCCAACAAAGAGGCAGCCAAGCGTGGACAGCTCGCTCGACCAGGTGCGCTGCAGGCTGTTTTGCCGAGATCAGAGTTTGGTCCGGGCCCTGTTCTGGGTTTGCCCCAACAACACAAAAAAGTAGTGACCTGCACTCGGAAGGCATAGAGATGCAGCGCAGTGCCATACAAGCAGCGGAACAGGCATCCCTGCAGCTTTACAAGTTGCGGCTCCGGAAATCGCAAGGAGTCGTTTGGATTTGAGTTGCCCTGAGTTGCCCTTTGGCGTTGCCCTTCTGGGTCAGGTTCAACCAATGCAAGTTCCCCTCCCGGCTGTGGCTTCGGCAGCTTCGAGCGACCTGCATCTTCGTTCACCAGCGCCTGCATGAGCCATGCATGAGCTTCAATGGAACGTTCAGCTTCGAACTCTCTGAGTCATCGGCATCAAAGTAGTGGCGCCGCCGCAAATCCAGGATGCCTCGCGCGAACACGACACGACAACCACATGTTGTTTTCCAACCTGTTTTCTTCTTCTTCTTTTTTTAACAACATGATGAGCCTCACTTCAAGCAGCGTCTACGCACAGCAAATACCGCCTGGGAATTCCACGGACTCGGACTGCTCGCAAGCAACCTCAATTCGATCGCATTGTACGCTTGCAGAGCAAAGCAAGAAAGCAAGTGAATTGGTTAATTTTCCCACAAAAAAAGGTGGGTGCTCCAGTTTGCTTCTCTGCATCAATCGCATGCTCCCAAGTCGTGTCTATCAGCCGATCGTTTGATGGTAAACCCAGCTGCAAGCTCCGAATTGCAAGCTTTTTGGTGCCCCACTGCCTGAAGGCATCCGGCCGCGTGCCCGGAAGGAAAAGCTGAAGGCTGGCAGCTTGCTAAAACAGCTAATTCAGGCAGACTCTGCCTGTGCAAGCTTAGAATCCAAACGGAATTGTGGAGCAAGATTGGACGGGCCTTGTGCGTGTTCGCTATACAACGGCGCACTAGGGTCGCAACTTGCCCAGGGTCGAACATCAAATCAAAGAGCAACAAGGTCATGGAGTCCGGCTACAACATGTTTACCTTGTTGTTTCAGGACGTGTCACTTGGCGGCCCAACCTCCACGGAAGCTGCAGAGTCGAAGACTCGCAGCGCCTCCGGCTTTGCCCGCAGTTGCTCCGCGATCAGCGCGTCCAGCGCCTTGGCGCAAGTCCATGTCGGCGTGATGGCTCCTTACTGTACCTGCTTTGGCTCAGCGCTCGTGCCATTTATCGAATTGAACATGTCAACATATTGCTACTTCACATTTTCGATGTTTCTGTTGTGTTCTTGCAAAAGTCCATCCTCCTCTCCCCTTGTAAAAGTTGCTATTGTTTCAACCAATATTGAACTAACACAAGTAGCGGGTTATTCAGGGACCCCTCTCTAGGCTACTCCTGTCTTGCAAAAATTGCTCAAGAGAGTCCGAAACATATGCAAACACAATAGCGTCGGAGCTGTTCCTACTTGAAATGGCATGCTGGAGCACTTTCCGCTTGCTCCCCTGCTGCACAGAAAAGGAACCAATACCAAAAATGGCCGACTCAGACACGCCGGGATCCCCAAAAAATAGAAGATAACAATGACAAAGCCAAGGATGCTTTCTTTGTTTGAGGGAAATTAAGAGGTGGCAATGTGCTGTAAGAGGGAACACATGACAAGCCGATATAGATTGCAGTTCCGCTGAGCAGCACACATGTTGGAGAAGTCTCTTTTTACTCGCCCTTTATGACAATACTCGTAATCCTGAACGCCTATTTTGCCTCAACCGACACCCGCACGAGCGACAGAACTGCCTGGCGCAGCTCGTCCAATCCCCCGCATCGCCCAACTCCCAGGCCACCTGGAAATGGACGTCCGGCAAACGAGACATGCACTGCACAAGTGAAATCAGCAGCTCGTTGCATCTGACTCAACGAGATAGCGTGACTGTCTACAAATGCGCAGCATGCATCCCCATCCGTCGAGTTTATCGTTGCGACGCAAGCTCCATCATGTGGCACGGGGCTGGCATCTTTCAGGGATTCAATGACATGTTCAAGCTGTACGGTAATGGGCGTTGCGAATAACGGACATTCAAATCGAGCCGACAACACACAGAGCTGTTGGACAGGGGCATAGCAGCTGTCGATGATGGAGCAATAGGGGGCAAAGAGAATAACCAGAATACCCTCGTGTCCATTTCTTGGAGAACACATAATTCGATGGAACGCCATCCTCTGGCGCTTGACATTCTTACGAATCCCTTATCGCTGCCCATGCCACACATCTGGATGTCTAACTCATCCGACAGATTCTCCACGCCAAATTGAACGGGTATGCGACGTACCCAACCTGCCCCCAAAAGATGAGTGTTCTTCAGAACGCGTCTCTCAGAGCTCTGAATCTGACGCCTTGCTCCGACACTTCCGCTTTCCTTCACCGACTAGGCCTAGTGGCCGCTCTACCGTGGGGAAGCGCCAGTATCGCCGCATCTCCAAGGGGTTCTCCTCCTGTTGGGAGTGGAACAAAAAGCATCGCTATGCACCTGTTTGCAGAAACCAACAAGTTGGAGCAAAAGGGCCACGATTTCCCTCCTGCACTTCTTTCTTGGGCTTTGCTCGCTGCCTTAGCGAAAGATTCCAACATGCAGTCGGGGCTGTGCTCACTCAGGCAAGCACTCTTCGAGGTTCAATACCATGACTTGAGCAGCAGTGATCCTGAACGGCTGGAAGTTGGACATTGGACTACTGCAACCAAACAAAACAAGCACAATAATCTCCTGGCGCTGCCCACCAGGGTCCTCAGCACGGGCGCCAACGCGTCGGTACAAAGGCTCCCTTTCTGCAACGTTGATCTCTCGCCAAGCGGCCCTTGCTCGTCGGAGTCGCTCTCCTCCAGATCTCGCATCTTGGCAATGGCTTCCTGGCCGGTTCCCATCGGAAGACAACAATAATTTGTAACAAAGATAAAGAGTGCAGGGCGACATAATAATAATAATAATAATAATAATCATAATAATAATAATAATAGTCATAATCATAAGATAACAATACTAACATTAGTACAAATGACAACACACAACAAACATTAGATGTTGCACGTGTTAATGTGTCTCTGGAGCTGCATGCCAGGCAACTCAGCCACACCATCTGTCATCAGCATCCGAAACCTTTTGGGTGGTGAATGGTCGCACTGGGCGAATGAAGACAGTCAGCTACTTAGGGGTGAGGTGAAATGGAGGTTTGGGTCGACCCATTTTCATGACCGATACCACTTAGGGTGAGGTGAAATGGAGGCTTGGGTCGACCCATTTTAATGACCGATACCACTTAGAGGTGAGGTGAAATGGAGGCTTGGGTCGACCCATTTTAATGACCAATACCACTTAGGGGTGAGGTGAAATGGAGGCTTGGGTCGACCCATTTTAATGACCGATACCACTTAGGGGTGACGTGAAATGGAGGCTTGGGTCGACCCATCTTATTCACCGATACCACTTCGGGGTGAGGTGAAATGGAGGCTTGGGTCGACCCATTTTAATGACCGATACCACTTAGGGGTGAGGTGAAATGGAGGGAATATGTAGTTTACTTTACCATGTCAAAGTTTGAAGCTCAACATACACAGGCAAGGAGCGAACAGAAATTCCCAACGCACAAACCAAACTAACGCAAAGTATACAGTACATTATTCCTCCGTCTTTTTGTTGCAAGCAAGGTGGCCAGGTCACGCCAATCGCCAAACAACTTGAGCTCGGTGTTTCCATTAGATAAACAAATCGACAAACCCGTTAACCCGTCTGCTGGCTCTGACCCTTGCCTCTCGGCTCTCCATGGAGCTGAACATGCGCTCGCCCCCGACCTGTCGCAGGCGCACTCTCCCGGCTCTTGGGCAATCCTCTTCGCAGGTTCCTTGAAAGCTGAGACGCGGGCCAGGTACTTGCCACTGGCTGACTTGACACCTCACTCGCAGCGTGCATCTCGCGCGACTAAGTCGACATGGTTTGAGGCCGCCGCGCAGGACCAAGAGATCCACCACCTGAGGTCAAAGAAACCCCCCTCACTACCAGTGAGGCATTTTGGCGACCAGACTCTGCACAGGCGGCCGTTCTCCACGCAAAGCCGGCAACGTCCTGAGCGAAGTGACACCCTCAGGGTCTGACCCAGGCGGAGGGATGCTGAAAAAGTCGGCTTGCATCGCTGGATCGCTGGGTGCCGGGCCATCCCTCAACCTGGCGAGGCATTTGACTTCTTTTTGACTTCAAGCGAGGTGGCACAGTATGAACCCCAGAAGTTGACACAAGCTCTCTCACTCTGGGGGAGCTGCTGCTTGAAGAGCTTGTCCGTGAGAGCTGAAGTCCCTCGGCAGCTCAAAACTTGCCGCCTGCTTATCATGCGTGACCAATCTGAGCTTCTCGCCTTTGAAGTAGTATGGGCCTCCACACGGGTGGCTCTCAAAACTCGGCTTTTGGTGCAAGTGCTGGAATCCACATTCGAGCGCTTGGGATGGGGCTTAGAAGGACGTCGTCCCAGTTCTGGGCGGGGGAACTGGTCCGCGAAGCCTGACCCGCTATCCACTCAATATCGCCTCTCTGTCGGCAGTGGATGTAGTGCGGCTTCACTGGATCACTCCCCCACAGCAAGCAAATTTGGGGAAAAAGTCAATCTTGCTTGAGCATATCATTTTAAGAAGCAGTGCAATCTCCTCTCAGAACGCACAGCGAGGCTCACTGAGAGGCGGGCACGTAGCATGTCTGGTGCAATTTCTTCTAAAATCTGGCAATGGGAGCGAGCGAAGGTATATTGAACGCCGCTTTGACATACGCGTCAGTAACGCAGTTTGAGCTACATCTTTCCGCATCCACCCCTGAACTCAAATGATTGCCACCAAAGGTTTTCGCCTGGCCTTGCCCAGGTCATCGGCAGAAGCAGGACAAACCTGAGCAAAAAGCAACCTCGCAAATCCTTCAACGCTTCTAACACAAGGATTGCTGATTCCAATAATTTTCCCCAATTTCACTGGGCATCCGATTGCCGAGATCGGTGTCCAGTGGTGAGTTCAGTGGGGCCGCTTCCACACCGCCTGTGAGGCACCAAACTGAGTGAAAAGGCACTTCAGGCTAGCCTTGTGCATTGATTTCTTGCAGCCGAAGGAACCTGGACCTTCCAAAGTATCTTATTTGTTTTGAGGCATGCCGGGTCCCAATGTGACTCGTTCAAGCAGAAATGGCGTGAATAAAAAGTGCAACGACCCGCGAAAGAGCGCAACAAGCTGCACTGGTCAGCAAAAAAGGAGCGCAAATTAAGGAGTCACTGGAATGTCCTTCAAGAGCTTCGCGTGCCATGTGTCTTCGACATCATGTGGGTGTGGCTCAAAATTAAACAGGAGGGGTTACGCAGGTTTTGGTCCATGATTCCACTTACCAGGGATCCATTTTGGTACCGCTTTTTTGAGCCACAGCGATGTGGTGCCCCCAACAAAGATTTGAAGCGCGAGAACGTTCGAGCAAAACTGTTTGAGGGGGAATAAAGTGCAATTGGTTCACAAGGCTTCCGGAGAAGTCGCCTTAGCCCCAGGGCAGGATCCCTCTGTAGATCATAGAAAGTTGGACATGCTGTTCCGAAGCAAGCCCCCCCCTCACCAGCCCGAGCCCTTTACCCTTGGACCACGGCTTCACCTAGCCTCCCTAACTCTTCCAGCGCGCCGGGCCGCGTTTCTGGCCAACCCCGCAGCTGCACGCGTGGCCCGAAGAAAGATCAAAGAAAGCCTCAAACCTCAACTAGTTGGCTGAAGCGCGCGCGAAGCGTTTGCAACTTAACTGCTCAATGATTTAGACGTCTGCACTTTTTCTGGTGGTGGTGTCCCGATGGTGTCCCAGTGTCCTGTGTGTCCCGGTGGTTTTCGGGGGGGGGGGGGGGGTTCTGGTGTTGGCGGTGCTCTTGTCGTGGTCCTTGTGACGTTCCTGTGGTGAACTAGTGGTGTCCCGGTGTCCCGATGGTGCCAGTGGTGTTCCCATCATGTGGTATGTGGGTGGTTGCTCTTGTTGGTGGGATTCTGGTGGGTCCCTGTCTCCGTGTGCGACTTTGAAGGCTGCTGTTCTGCCACGTCTGAGGCTTCAGCGTAGGAAAGCCCCTCCGGGCCTCGGTGTCTGCCAATCCACAGCTCAAGCGCCCCGTGAGTCCCTGGCGTGGCTGCCACCACGAAGCCAGGGGCACGTCGTTCATCTCCAGGCCGAGCCTCGCATTCGAACAAGGGCACCCCCCAACGACCCCTCGCGGCCTCTCTGGCCTGCGGCAGCGTTCCTCACTCCACCACTCATAGGACCTAAGCTCGACGCTCGAGGAGGAACCGAAGCCGAAGCACTGTGCGGTCAAGTCGCACAAAGGGCTGTAGAGAGCCGCCGGCAGAGTCCTGGCACCTCGGGCTGAAACCGCGCAACTCCTTGACTCAGAAAGTTCCTTTTTTTGGCCAGAACGACCCTTTTCAAACCATGCCCAGCCTCTGGATGGCGGCTTCGAAGCTCACCGTTACCTCCCATCCGTCAGAGGCAGCTGGGCTCTGCCCTCACCCCCCTTCACCCCCCTCACCCGACGCTCAGGCCTTCTCGCCCATGGCAAAGCGCTCGTCCGCTCGCCGCTTCTTCTCCGGCAGCCGGCGTGCCTAGAATTAGGTTTCCTTCAAAGCCATCCCCATAGCCTTGTCCTCGCTAAAGCCTGATTCTCGTCACTATCACAACGTCACAGTTGACTCCTCACTGCCATGAGCCGACACAAAACTGTCAGCGTCGCAAACTGACCTCAGACTTGACATCTTGAGACCTCACGAAACCGGCAAAGGCCCGCACCGCACGGGTCGGCCTCCCCCAGTTGGATGGCCTGAGACAGGCGAAGCACAGGGCTACCAGGTCTTCGCCTCTTCTGGGCTTGGGATGGGCAGCGATCCTTTCCGACACTCCGCAATCCACAGACTGCAAGGAATAACAAGCAAGTTGCCCGGACGTGGTTTGCCAATGCACTCAGCATCGTCTCAGTCTGGGCCCGCCACTCCTCCCGCTGCTTGTTTGACTGCAAAGGAAAAATCCAACACGTGGCTAAACATGCCGCCAAATACGGAAGCTAAGCGATCGAGAATGGTGCGATAGGCGCACCAGCTGCCGCAAATCCGTGATGCTCTTGCGGCGCAGCAGCCTCCTGGCATCCGCATTCAAACCCGCACTGCATCATCTTTGGGACGCGCGCGCATGTCGCACCCCATGCCATGCCCGATGCCAATTGGAGTGACATCAAGGCGGCTAGGGCCCCACACTTCTTAGAGGCATTGCGCTCAGGGATCGGATTTATCTCGCCTCAGACCCATATGCCACGAACAAAGCAAGCACCGGAGCAAAAGACTGAGCTCGCTGCGAGTAGGAAATACCACGCTGGATGCCCCGCTGGGAGGGTCCGACTCTTCCTGGCGCATCCCCATCCCTTCCCTCCAAAAGCCTTCAGGCATCTTAAGGCCTTTGACTTGTTGCTTCATCCCCGAAGCGAAGCACCAGCAATGAGCCAGAGAGGCGTCGCTGTCCCTGTCATCTGTTTCCTGCAATACTTTGCCGCCCGCGTAGCCTGGGGTGCAGCTCTGCACCAACCGGTCCCCTTATTCAGCTAACGGTTTCCTCACTGAGTGTCAGGCCGGCAGGAGTCACCTGAGTAAGTTGCGCAAATCCCTCTCTCGGGGTCCTCAGACTACGCACGGGCCAGTGACCAGGTTCGGATTACATGAAAACCCGCATGTCGCTTTGATGATTGACGTAAGTGGCTGGGAGATATGATTCCAACAGCCAGAAACTGGGTGCCAGAGACAGCAACTTCCGCCTGTTCCCAGCTCCACTGGTATTTTCAGCAGAGGCAAAGGTGTGCTGCACGCTTGGCCCCAAGCCGGCCAACCTTCTTGGGTCTCGAAAGAGCTTTGGCTGGATTGAAGCATTCGTGGCCTTTTCCTTTTAGGGACCCACTAAGATGCTTGCCTTCCTTTTGGTGTCCAATTTAAACTCAAACATGGGTTCGGCACCCCCCAAAAAAAACACGCCCCGATTGTCCGTTCTGTCAGTTGCCATGTGGCTCGCTGGCTTCCCTTAGCTCAGGCGCGCGCCGCGCCACGGCGGCTCTGCGACACGCTGGGGCCCTGCAGGCTTTCCCGCAGCCAGTCATCACGCAGAGCCTGCGATGGATGCAGTCGCACGAGTCGCACGAGTCGCACGAGTCGCACGAGTCGCACGAGTCGCACTCGGTTGAAAGTTGGTTCTCCGAAAGTCGTAAGCAGCAAGTTCATGCACAAAGACCCACTCTGTGAAGAATGAGGACATCACTGCACTGAAGCCGGGAGCTGCCGCTACAAGACAAGTACTGCAATCTCGGACAATTAGACAAATTGACAGTAGTCCGCTGAACAAATACTACAGAACTGTGCGACCTCCTCGGCAGTCACCCGCTTCGGCACCTCCCTACCTCACGAAGGCATGCCGTGAGGCCCAGGTAACTCCCCAAGTTTGGTGCCCTCCGTGGGTTGAGATCTGGGTTCAGAGCAAAGCATGCATGCCATCGACTCGAACACCTCATGGGAGATGCGCACATTGGGTTCCACATCCTTGGTGCCGGCTATTAACTTCCCAACTTCCCCGCATGACACCATATTCTGTGTGCAACCGTGTGCAACCGTGTGCAACCATGTTGCTCGGGTCAGCACACTGTGCAGACTGTTGAAGGGAAGCCGCCTCAGGGCACACTGCACGAATAGCGTGCGGCAGGATTGTGTGAATTGTGGACGGATGCAATGAGCGTTTTGGTCCTAGCAATGCACTCTGTGACCAACGCACATGCCCTGCAAAAACCGAATCATGCGTGTTGAACACGGAGGCAACTGTCAGAAACTCCAAGCTCGGAGGGCCGTCCCTCCAGTTTCCAGAGAGATGGTGTGACATGGCCTCATAATTGTTTCCGTCAACAAGACATTCAAAATCACAAACCTAGACACAGAAACACACAAACACAACACACACACACACAAGCACACACACACACACAAACACACACACACAACCATACACACAAACGCATTCACACAGACACAAACACAGACACAAACACAGACACACACACACACAGCAAAAGAAAAACAACCCCAAGAACACAAACACACACACACAAACAGAAGTAAACACAAACACACACACACACACACAGACACACAAAACAGCCACAAACACAGAACACAAACAGCCACAAACACACACAAAAAAAATCACTCGGATACAGGCACAAGAACAAGCGTGACACATACGCAAGCACACGCAAACAAACGCACAAACACACACACACAAGCACAAACAAACACCCAATTGGGTCTTAAGGTGGTGGTCTAGAAGTGGTGGTGGTGAAAGGGCGGGAAAGTGACTGAAACCCAGCGAAACCTACAAGCAATGCGACTCCTGCAACAAGGAACCCTAGGTATAGGAAACACCATCCGACTTGTTCTCTTATTTGGGGAGGGGCGGGCGGTTTATTCTGAGAGGGGATGTCATTGGAGCGCCAGTCATTGGAGCGCCAGTCCCTCGTGTTACACAATCAAAAACACTCAAACAAACCAAACCCTCACACGAACACTCACACAAGCACAAACACATACACACGCACACGCGCACACACACACACAAACGCACACACACACAAAGCGCGCGCACTCACACACACACACACACACACACACACACACACACACACACACACACACACACACACACACACACACACACACACACACACACACACACACACACACACACACACACACACACACACACACACACACACACACACACACACACACACACACACACACACACACACCACACACACACACAAACACGCAAAAAAGGTCGGAAACAACACGTCTGCGGTAGAGAGGTCTCTGCCTTCTAGGTACGCTGACACGCATGACGTGACTGCGGAGACATACTCTGGAAGGGAAACCGAAGACATCGCAACCAAGGAAGAGGAGTGTAGGAGACACCACATCCCTGGAGCGCCAACTGCTGCTACGCTTTGGCTCAGGATGGCGTCGCAGTGAAACAAACCTTAGAGACAGGGGTTGCACGCAGAGAGAGAGAGAGAGATAGACAAAAAAGAAGAAAAAAAAGACAGAAAGAAAGAAAGAAACAAACAAAGAAAGAAAAAGAGAGAGAGAGAGAGAGAAAAAAAAACAAAAATAAAGAGAGGAAGAGAAAGAGAGAGGAAGAGAAAGAGAGAGGAAGAGAAAGAAAGAGGAAGAGAAAAGAGGAAGAGAGAGAGAGGAAGAGAGAGAGGGAGCGAGGGGAAAAATGAGAACCACCAACGTGGCGTCTAAGACTTTGATCAGCACAGAGCAATCAGACTCCTTCAAGCCAGGGCTCTTGGTCTGCGCAAACCACAAGACGACCCCAGCCGCCTTGGTCAACGCACGTTGGCTTCAAAAGCAGTAGCAATGCTCATGGCGCCCTTAGGAGTCTTTTAGAAGCCATCGTCTTTAATATTCTTTATTTTCTGCCCTCAAAGACGGTTTCAAAAATTGGACTGTGACACCGAACGACGTCCGGCCCTGGGCGCCCAGCCCACACATCGGCGGCGCAGCTGTACTCGCACTCCTCAAATGCACGCGGCATGCGTCACGCGTGCGCAGACCGAAGCTCTCCCTATCAAATCTGCTCCCTAAAAAATCCACGGGCGTCACGTGGAAATTGAACAACAGCTCAGGCAATCTAAAGCCTTGAGTCCTATGCGAGGAGTTTCCTTCCCCTTGATTTTTTTCGACTTTAGGAATGCCTTGTTGGGCCGCCCCTTTTGATTGGTGTTTAAAGCAAACACCAGAAGGCCCGCAAACTTCAGACGAAGCCATGTGCCTTGGTATTCGCACACATACACACACACGTGTGTACGCACATACTCCTAAATATATGATAGTGTGTTTCCTGTGTATGACATGTGCGCACCGCTGCGCAGCAGGTGCAACACATCCCCTCTGCTGTTCTACATCAGGCCTTGAGGCTGTAGGTTTGTGTACATGGCCCTGACAGACGGAAACAACAGAGCGCTGCTCGCAACACAGGCTCCACACTTCAGGCGCGCACGAAACAAGTTGCTCCTATTTTAACCGGATGGCTGAGCAGCGAAAGCTATCACACACACACACACATACACACACACACACACCTGGGAAAGATCTGCCATTCGGCGCAACAGCAGCGACAGTTGGAAGGAACACAAGTACAAAATAGTACAGTACAACCACGGCTCAATGGAGAGTGCACCACATTTGAAGAGTGGAAGTACCAAATGACAGCATACATTGGACCACGAGGTTCAGCGTGCAACAGACTGCTCAAACATTCCGAGAAATCACAAGTACGACATTGATCTTGCAACCTCTGAGCAACAGCTTACACTGCATCTTGGCGAGCTCGTGCAATGGACCAGCGTCAACAATTTGCAGACAAAACACGCAAAGCAACGAACCCTTGGGACAAGAAGCATTGGGTGCCTGGCAAGCTTACTCAAGCCACAGCCCGACAAACACCCACCAAATACGAGGAGGACACCAACACGCTACTTACCAGACGCTGTTAAGATGTACCGCTCAACGAGACAAAGCAAGGGCCCTACGGCAATGCCTAGAACTGCAGGCAGGCAACATCACAGCATATGCACAGACCAGATGCCTGGTGAGCAAGTATCACAGAGCATCATCATCATTCAACAGCCTACAAGCACTCACATCCGGCGGCAGCAACAACAACCAAGCAACCTGGCACAATGTGACAAAATACATTCACCAGGGCAAAGGAAAGTGCCACAAAGGCAAGAGCCTATGGCGGCTGCGGGAACTACAGTCACAACAACCACAAAAGAGGAAAAGCACAGTCAACCAGTTGGGCACGGCAAGGCAATCCACTTCAAGGACAACAAGGGTAGCAAGTGCAGCAAGAAAGGACAAGGCAAAGGAAATTCAAAGGAGCAAAAGGACAACGCGCGACAAACGCTTGCTGCATGTGCCGGCAATTTGTGGCCATTTCAACTTGCGACGCCACCAACTTCGAGACAATAACCAGACGGGTGACCGGTACAACGATCGACAGCAGCAAATACATCAGCAGTGATTGGCTCAACGCAACAACCTGCAGAAGACAACAACCAGGTCAATCCCATGATTCACTTCGGTGTGACTACACATGTTCGCCCACCATGGTTTGCAACGCAAATCCCAGTACAACAACTTGAGCAACTGAAGTTTGTGACCAACCCACACGTCAAGCTCTAAGTGTGTGATGTTAAACAGACAATACTTTCGGCTACAAGGCTGGTGGAACAAGGTTCCAACTGACATTGGATAACACTCTAAGGATACAACACGACAAGGGGATGGACTGTTCCTCCTACGAGCAGAGCCCTGCGAAACCACCCAAGCACCAACACCTGGAGAATCACAGTTCAAAAACACAGTAGGAGATGAAGCATTCCTTGCCCACCGGCTTGTTGGCAAAACACAACGGCTAGCGCGTGCAAGACAAGACATTTGTTACAGCCAATAACTCTAAACGCAGCAACACAATTTGACAAAGAGAAGCTCCCCAAGCGTACATAGCGTACAACATACAGGACAAGCAAACTCCACTCGACATCGACAGCTACACAAATGTCAACTGGGCATCATGCAAGACAACAGAAGAAAAAGCGCAACAGACTTTGGGACACAGCGCTTTGGAACAAAAAAACACTATGGCAGCATGACATAAGCAACAATAGCACTTTCAGCAGCAGAGTCAGCACTGCAAGTGGCGCAGCAGCACAGGAAAGTCTCTACATCAAAAACTTCATCAACAAGGCTTTCGACAAACGCGCCATAATCAGGACACATACACAGACAGCAGCGCACCTAGTTCAATCTCGATGAGAGAAGGCGCATGAAAGACAGCAAACAACATTCAGCTGAGACACCTCTTGATGCAACAACTTGCTAAAAGCAAAATCATCACAATGCGCAAAATACGATCAAAGGACAAACCAGCTGACATACTAGCAAACTCTGTCAGCTGCGAAAACCTCAACAAGCAGAAGTTCTATACAGTCACTATTGCACCAGTGCGCACGGCATGTGAAACATCAGCTGCGCAGGTCACTAGATGAGCGCTACACAACTTTTAGCTTTCCTTAGGTACAACCTGTGCCATGGGATGGTCTACAACAACCCCTGCAAGAATACCGCGAGGTGTGAATACATCTCAATCCATGCTTTGATACATTCTGCAGTACACCTTTTGCCCTGTACAGAACATTCGTCCGCGACGCGAATGGACATCACATACACAAGGGCACACAGAAGCTTGAGCAAGGACATGATGGTATCGCATGGGCCCAAATCGGAGGCAGTTCTGGACAAGCCAACGGCTACCGAGCTGAAGCCGGGACACATGACCTTCATGTTTCTGATGACAACTGAACACGTGGAGGCATTGACGATCAAACATTACAAGACTGCCAGGAAAAGTGAGTCATGCTCACAGCCCTGTTGAGCACGGTCTTCGACTGTGCCAAAATTACAGTACCGGCAGACGGGGAGTGTGTTCAATCGTGGATACGCAGCACAGATTTTGCAGATTCGTGGTATTTGCGCATGTTCAGCAATTGCTACATCAGCTTTGTACCAGGGTCACATTCAAGGCGGTGCACAAGGAGTGCAGTCTGGCTAAAAGATTCGCATCTGGGTCGTCCTGCAGAAGCCGTATCAGGATCAAAAACATGCATGCTGCTTTGGAGCAGCTGCATGCATCCCGTACATCGAGAAGCTCCACAAGGGAGAGAGCGCGGATACAAGCTCTTGCATGCCCGCTTGCAAAGGACACAAACGCGCAGGCAGGTCTGCTACATGATCCTTGCTTGCGTCATCCTGCCCCACAAGGACTTTGAACACAACAGCACAAAGTTCGGCGGCGCAACCTTTGCACAGCCGAGGAGGGGTATCAATACATATCAATGTGTATATATATATATACATATATATGCACCACTATACAGCAGGTGTAACACATCACCGCTGCTGTTCTACATCAAGGGCATGAGCCTATCTGTGTACATTGCCAAATCAAGTTTTTCCTATTTCAACAATATACGTAATATGGGCAACTGCGAAACCTCTTTGCCAAAGGACATCGGGTAGAGGCTAGCATTTCTTTGTAACCCTATCGTTTTACAGTTTTTTGTGCATTCTACCGTTCACAAGAATACGAATTGCCAGCTTAAAAATCGCAACTTTCAGTACAAGTGCTGCACAGAAACTACACTTGGGCAGCTCCGGCCGGCTCGGAAGTCGCAACTTTTCAGTACTAAGTGTGTAAGGAAATTCGCTTGAGCAGCTCCGGCTCGAAACTTTTCAGTACAAGTGCAGCTGGAAACTTTTCAGTACACGTGTAGCAAAGAACGTGCACTTTGGCAGCTGCGGCCCGAAAATGGCTCGAAAGTCACAACTTCTCAGTACAACTGTAGCAAATGGATTAAAGAAAGTACATTTTGTCCGGCCTCGAAGTCGGAAGTTTTCTGTACAAGTGTTGTAAAGAAACTACACTTGGGCAGCTCCGGCTCCGAAGTCGCAACTTCTCACTTCAAGTATACTGAAGGAAATACAGCTTTGGCAGCTCCGGCTGGAAAGTTGCAACTTCTCAGTACAAGTGTAGTAGCGGAATACACTCAGCTGCTCATTTGCTTACAGAAGGGTAGCCCCTTACACACAATGTCATTATGGACTACTCCAATCATTATAGGGTATCTCATATACACACTTAATGTTTCAAGGATACATATACATAGTGTGACACATAGTATATATACATTGCATGCGAGTCATATGAGCGTCTGGCAAAACCTTTGGAAGACCAGTATGCAAAGGGCTGGACATGACATACCAAAGTGTGCGATAAACGTGTCAAAAGCATGAGAAACGACGGGGTTACAAAAAAAGAAAACGATAGCTTCTTTTGATGTCGGTTGTGCTTTGCAGCCAAACAGAAAGGCCAGTTGGAAGCCAGCATTAGTCCAAACAAGCCGAAAGTATCCGACAGCTGTTCAAGAAGCGCGCGGTCATCTAAAGGCACATCTTCTGAAGGCAAGGCAGTTGAATTGTGGAGGCTTTTTGAAAACTCTGGTTGCGCACATGTTATTATGTGAGTCGCAATCAAAACCTGGTGATAAAATGGTCTACCCAGAACCATGTACAGGATTAAGCAGGCGGCCGGAGCTATTTGTGGCTGGGATCGTCCCTTGTTAACCTTCATCTACCCGGGTTTTGATTGTGGCTCATGTGGTGTCAACGAGCTGATATCTTCCAGCAATTGAATCTCCTCCTGAATCTTGTTGCTGTCACCGACGCATGTTGGATAACCCCAAGTCATCACCTTGCCATCCTGACGGATGGCAGCAAACGCAGGCACAGCGGCGCGAATCTCTCGGACACCAATCAGGTGCTCTCGCACTGCGCTGCTATCACCGGCAGATAATGGTTTACCCCAAGTGATCACTGTGCCATCCTCAAGAATGGCAGCAAACGCACTTGCGGTGGCTTGAATATGACAAGAATCAGTCCGCGACCGCTGTGATGCTCCATGGAAGGACAGCTGCTCTCGAACTGCACTGCTGTCACCACCTTCTTCTGGATCGGTGATCACTGTGCCATCCTCACGAATGGCGGCAAACGCAAACCAGGCTGATTGTATTTGTCGGACACCGGTCAGCTGCTCTTGTACTGCGCTACTGTCACCGCCACCTTCTGGATTGCCCCAAGCGATCACTATGCCATCTTCACGAATGGCAGCAAAAGCGTGCCGGGTTGCTTGAATCTGTCGGACGCAAGTCAGCTGCTCTTGCACTGCGCTGCTGTCACCGCCAAATGCTGGCTCACCCCAAGTGATCACTGTGCCATCCTCACGAATGGCGGCAAACGCAAACCAGGCTGATTGTATTTGTCGGACACAAGTTAGTTGCTCCCGCACTGCATTGCTGTCCCCACCATGTTTGCCACAACCCCAGGTTATCACTGTGCCATCCTCACGAATAGCAGCAAACGCCATCATATTTGCTTGAATCTTTCGGACACAAGTCAGTTTCTTTCGCACTGCACTGCTGTCACCGCCAAATTCTGGACAACCCCACGTGATCGCTGTTCCATCATGTTCCATCCTCACGAATGGCAGCAAACGCCATCTCATTTGCTTGAATCTGTTGGACGCAAGTCAGTTGCTCTCGCACTGCACTGCTGTCACCGCCAAATTCTGGATAACCCCAGGTGATCACTGTTCCCATCCTCACGAATGGCAGCAAAGGCCTGCCTGGCTGCTTGAATCTGTCGGACACAGGTCAGTTGCTCCCGCACTGCACTGCTGTCACCGCCAAATTCTGGACAACCCCACGTGATCGCTGTCCCATCCTCACGAATTGCAGCAAACGCCCTCTCAGCTGCCTGAATCTGACAAACACCTTTCAGCTGCCCTCGCACTGCGCTGCTGTCGCCCCCGTTGCTAGGATCACCCCAAGTCACCACAGAGCCCCCAGCAACATGCAAAGCAAATGCCGAGTTTGTTGCGGCCAGCTTGCCCTCTTGCACAATTGCATCGACCGTGTCGTCCTCCCTTAGGCCTACTTGACGCAAAGTGGATTCCATGTCCAGCGGCCGGCCTGTCAGGGATCCAGTGGTTCACTCTGCTTGCCCAATGTCTGCATTTGGGATGATTGCTATCCACCCGAAAGCTCGGAGTGTCATTAGGGCCCTGGGTTCCGTCTGTTTTGGGTCCTGTCCTGCATTTTGCCGGCCTCGCAGCAACAGCCTCAAAAAAGGGAGCTGGAAGTGCTTGCCATGATCTTCAGCTCACTCCCTCTCGACTCCGCCAGTGTCGCGGTGCAAGCGCGCCCACTTGGCAAGCAAACCTTCACATTCATGACGCTTCGCACTGGGATCCGCGCACTGTGCCCCCTAGCATCCCCTAGCTGTACGGGAAAGCCCTTATTTCTTTTTGACCGACTTGTTGTTTCGGGGTTCGGGGTTCGGGGGGAAGGCAGGAAGGGGGGTCCAAGGGGCGGTCACGGAAAATGCTCTTAAGATGTCTTCACACTCTCCGACTCTTTGGATGTTGATCCAGCCAAAGGAAGCTGCCGCATTTGCTCTAATGAACGCGGAATGAGAAAAACACCCGCTATGCCAAGAGCAGAGAGGTGAGTCGCTCCTTGCCCCCGTTGCCTATGGGGAAATCTTGGTCACCAAGGCTGCGGCAGCCACCTCCGGCGCCCAGTACTCGGGGGACCCGATGACCTCCCCTAGGAAGGCGCCGGCCTGAAGGAAAAATAGAAAATTGGAAGAGGAAACTCATTTTTATTTAGAAAATCGATCTGCACCGGGGCTTTCGGTCCCGGCCTCGAAAGTGCGAGCTGTGGAGTACAGGTCCGCAATGACAAGCCTCAAGAAACCGCTTCGGCCCTCGATATTCAATCATATTCTCGAACTCGCAGTCGCACGCCGTCCGCTCACTGGGTCCGGCGCTGGAAACTCTCTCTCAGCAAGTCTGGCGTGTTGACCACCAGGTTGTCCGGAGTTATGCCGCGGTGCACGACACCTATAGGTCTGTCAGAGCAACGGGCACCCGCTCCCCACTGACTGAGGACACCACGATGGGCATGGAGGTATGCCAGCGGTGACAGAAGCTGGACCTGATCCAATCCCAGCTCTAGTAAAGAGTGACGGACCTTTTGCATGCACAGGAGTTAAGATGTTCCCTTCATCTCCGCTAGCACTAGTACCTTCGCAGAGAAATGCATATACATATTGTAAATATGCATAAGGGCTCTCTCCCTGTCTTTGCTTTCAAAATACCACCAACAGATTGTCTTCGTTTTGCCATCATGTTTTTCCTTTGTCTTGGTCAGGAGAAGGGGGCGATTCAGCAGTGAAGCTTTGCGCCAATTGCCTAGAGCCCCGACGGCCACATCTGCCGCCACCGGCACCGGCAGACCCCGACGCGAGAACCTCAACAAAGCGCACGTCAAGCCGTCAAGCTCAGCCCAATCCAAACATATCCAAACATATCCAAACATATCCGGACTCGCTTCGGGACTATCCGGACTATCCGGACCCCCGCTTGTCCCGGACTCTGAGCTGCTTGTGACCTCCCGGCCCCGCTTTCGCCTCACTTGCCTCGAGCCTCGGGCTTTCCAGCAGCGAGCACCGCGATGCGCAAGCTGCACGTGAACCTCCGGAGAAGCTCAGCTCGCTGTTCAACTCATTTCAAGAGGGATGCAAATTTGGACCTTATCCTACTCCAAAGGGTCCATCGAGTGAGCCGAATGGGTGCCTTCAATGGCTCACCGCGCCTGGAGATCACAAAGTACACAAAGTAGTCGTCAACGAAAACGGTGTGCGTCTTGATCTGCATGCGGGGTGAATGGCGCTTGATGCTGCGCGCTCGCGCCAACTGAAGGCAGGCCTCCACCTCAAACCCTCTTGCCATTAACTTGCCGCACTCAGGGGATGGTTCCCGCCACAGAAAAGAGGCAATCGGCCAAAGCTGGGAGAAATTTTCGGCCATGAGACCTCCGCGCATCTCAGGATTAGGCCAGATTCGGATGGCTCAGCTGCGAGAGCTTCTTCACCTCCTGACTCTAGCCGCACAAACGGGCCTGTGCCGACCGATCAAGACGGGTGTCCCGTTTAAGAAATGCCCATGAGAACAAGACATACAAGACCCAAGTTCAAGCAGCGCGTCCTGAGATAGTAGCAGCCAGGACTGGCAGCGCTGCGACTCGTGCAAGGAGGAGGCGGCCAAATCTCAGTGTGACTTGAGTTGAATTTGTATCTCTGAGGCCTTCAAGGTCATTTGACCAGGACCTTTTCTGGGTGTCTCAAGGTATCCCACAAGGCCTCGGGTCTGCCCGTGCCAAGCATGCCGAGGCCGAGGCTGCCCCACCAGCTCGTCCCGTGACTCGGCGCGACATGCCATTTAAGAGGCACGACTGCACGACACATGGCGACCTGATTGCTTTCCACATTCAAATCATGCAATTCCGACAGATCTTGAAGGCTTGGCAGGCCGCGCACTCAGTTTGTGCAGGCTACAATCAACTCTCGTCCTGGATTCTCAATGTGTCAGGAGCCCGACCCCAGGCAAGCCAACCATTCTAGGCGTTGGTTCAACCTCTTTTGGATTAGTAAGGTGTCAAACAAAACCAACAGCCTGAGGTGCGAGCTCTACCAACTTCACCACCAGTCCGGAAGCGGGGACGTCGGGCTGAGCGCGCGGGCGAGTGTTGCCCGGCTGTGCTCAACCCGCTCCACGCAGAAGAGGTTGGTGGAAGCCATTGACCGGCAGTGGGTGTCTTCTTCCCAAGAGCAAAAGGTCGGTGTGAGGGGTCAAGTGTTCGTTTGCTCGCCTCGAACGCAACACTTTTTCAAGACAAGGGTTTCCAGGCTGGCACCAAATTTTCGCTTGCCGAGCCGAGGGCTGTGGTTTGGTCAACAGTGCGCTGCTCTCGCTGACGGCCTCAGAGCGTGTTGCCACAAAGCCACCTTGACGCACTCCAGCCCGACTCGTCATGGCACGAAGTTGCGCCGTCCACTTCCGCAAGGACAAGCCCTTCAGAGTTTCTCTGAGTTCACCTCTTTTGTATGGGCGAGCTTCGCTTCGTTTGGCGCGGGTGGCCCGATCCGGGGGCCTTTGGCTCGGCCCCAGGCGCTCCACGCGCTGCTGGCGTCGCCGCTCCGCCAGAAGCTGCACCAGGTTCGGGGACTCCTCGTCCCAATCCCCAAAATAGACTTTCAATTGTGCACATAGAGCATACATCTTTATGCCCATAGCTTCCAAAGCACCTTAAAAGATGGCCGTTGTTACCAAGCACGATTTCGGGGGAAAGGCTACTATTTGGCAATAGCCAGAGGTCAACTCCAATTTTGAGAGTTTTGGCGCCCAAATGTTAGCAGAAGCATACAAGGAAGCGTCTGCTACATGTGGTCATGCACGCCTGCGCCAATGCACGGCTCCCATGCTACCCTCGTGAACCTGCTGGATTTACATCTTGATATCGACAAATCAACCGAGAAGCACTTACTTGCCTGAGCGTGCCGGGCAACAAGACTCCTTCCAAATCATGTTTGCCTACTTGCGCTGCTAACATTCATTACAATCTCAGAAGCTGTTCCAGAGCGTTGGTCAGCGATCTCGGTTTCCCAAACAGGCTTTTTTCATGCTCCAAGGATCTCTTCAGAAAATGTCCGTTCTACGGCCTGTAGGTTCTATGGACATAAATGTCCTTTCTACGGGAATTCTACGGGTTGTCTACGCATATGTGTTTAAAAACAAACATGAACATGTGTGCAATGATTGTCCCAACTGCGGCCCCAGGAATTTCAGGGATTGCAACTCACACAGTGTTTGCTCTTTATGACCCGCGTGGGTATATCTCACGCTGGTTGCGTTGTGTGGGCATCTCTCATTTGACACACATGGACGCAAAACTGTTACGATTGATGGCTGGACATGCCAATATCGTGGGCAACCGTGTTTCAAAACCATGCATCACAGAACAGCGAGGCAAGCCAGGCACACCCCTAAGATGACCACCTTTCAGAAGTGTCAAAAACATGTGCTCTGTCAAGCAAACAATGTGTGTTTCCATTCATGTTAATTAAATGTCCGACGATATATATATATATATATATTTATGTTATATATATAGTGACAATATACATCTATATATTGTATATATCTATATGCGTATATGTGGTCAGGTCGCACCCCTCAAGAGCTGTGCCTCCGGTCTTGCAGCCGCTCTTGCCAGCACATAGAGAGGTACTCTGTTTAGAGTGCCTAACCAAATTGTACAATGCCAATGTTTTGACGTGGATACTCGTGTCCGGTTTTGGGAACTTTGTCTTGAGCCGGATGAATCCTCTGCGTGGCTTGAGCGTGTCAAGGTCGGACAACTCGTAATTTTCGCTGTTCGTTCAGGGTCTTCAGCGGTGTGCGCGGTCGCTCTCGGAAGCGAGCGGATTGTATTTGCAGGATGCCCCCTTGCGATCCATGGACCCATCGAGGGTCGGTTGAGTGTCGGTACAGGCTTGGGGTTGGTGTTGGTTGAGGGTGGGTTTAGGCTTGGCGGCTTGGGAAGGGGTTGGTGGCTGCTGGTTGGCGTGTCCTGAGCGCAGGTTTAAGCGTGACAGGGTCAGGCTTGGGGGCTCGGGGGGCTGGACAAACGATGGGAGAATGTGTATATACACAAAAACACGCATACAGTATGCATGTCTGGGTGCTGGGCCTGGTCGCCGGAATCTATGTCTTCATCCTGAAGGCCGACTCGGGGATACCATGGGATACCTCTTAATCCGTTCCCCCTTGAAATAAATGGATTAATCAATACTATTTCTGGCTGCTAAAGCCGTGTCACCAATACTACTTTTGGAATAGCCCACTTCACAACCAATACTAAACGGGGGGAACGGGAGAGGAATGAGGTCAAGCTGCGTAGAGAACACCTCCAAGCAAAAAGCATTAAGGTCTTGGCCACGCTCGGCGGCTCCCGCATCTCCTGCTATGCCATTGGATTGAAGGGGCTCAAGGGGCTCAAGGGGCTCTCAAGGAGATCAACGAGCTCTAGATCTTCCCAGTTTTTTTTGGTCGGGTGATTGATGAATTGATGGTGCTTGACAATTGACAATTGGAGACTTTTCCCTTGTGAACTACGGCACCTTAGCGCCAAGCTGGCATCATGTTCGCATCAAGTCCTCGTCCCAAGCTGGACCAGGACGGACCTCGCAGGTGTAGACAATTCCGAAGTCCTCAGCGCATTCTGCAGTCCCTGGAAAACGGGAACTGTTTGGACTTGGAAAGGCAAGACTGAGGGAAGGCAGGTCAATCAACTAACCGCATCATGCGCCAGCATTTAACAAAGGCCCAGCCTCCAGCACAAGGAAGATGCAACATCGGCGGTTTGCAAGGCCCGCTTGTCAGTTGCAGCTCAATGGCTGAGAGCGGCTGAGAGCGCACAAGCGTGGCAGGCGGGCAAACAGGATTCCTTGAAGCATGCGCAATAGTTTGGAGTGCCGCTCTGAAACATCAACGAGAACGTGCGCTCTACTTCCGCGGCTGCTTCTCCAAGAAGAGAAATGTGGCGCACATGGAAGTCCTTTAGCGGGGCTCAAGTGCTACGCGCGTGCCTCACAAGATGCGTTGCAGCTCAACAAGTTGCAAGTGGATGTGGTGGGATGGGCAGGAAATGCCCGAGGCTGGCTATGGGCAGGACAGATCCCTCCCACGGTGACAACTCACGGGGTTACTTTGACCAGGCTGTAGAAACTAGGACCTATCTCGAAAGTCACCCTGCTGCAGTCTAGGCTGGTAGGAATCTCCACCGTGCCTAGAGAATGCAATGAGTGAATAATCCGAGAGGAGAATCAATATTCTAAGTGTCAAATTGCTTCGGCAAGTGAGCTCATATCCGGGTGGCGAAGGCCAACAACATGGGTTGCCAATCACATGGGGATCTTCAGGCGTCTCAACTTCCTTGTGGGAATTTTGGTCAACGCTTCGGTTCAGCTCCAGTCTTCAGGCCCCACGCCTCTCCCCCTGGGCTCTGCGGCTCCCTCGCCCAAGAGCTTGTCGAAGTGGTAGAGCTCCCGGAAGTCCGGGCCGCCCCGCGACCTAGCGGGCCGGGTCGGTTTCCCGGGTCGGTTTCGGATCGGGACCGTCCAGAAGACTGGCCAGCTCCATGCAATCCTTTCTACAGCGCTGGTGCTTAATCTCTGAACCCTCGAGAATTTGGCTGGCCATTGCAGGTCAAGTTGCCTGCCCTAGTTTACCTGCCCTCGAATTTTGAGGTCGTCACGCGCGTGGCTGGCGCACCACAAAAGGACCTGCCACGCACTTCCAAAGCTTCCAAGCGGGGTGAGCTATCCGCGGCTTGCGGGCACTCAGCAACAGGTCGCGCCTTCCTCGTACGGGGCACCCTGGATGGGGTGTGGTCCGCACGCGCAGGAAGCCAGAAAGACCTGGCACAGAGACACGAGGCAAGGCGACCCAAACATTGCCCATGTCTGGGCCTTGCGGCAAATGTTGTCCACGTTTGCTGCGCGCCGGCGGACCTTCTGATAGGCCTAACCGCCGGGGCCGGTTTCCGTCAATGGAAATCCAGTGGGATATTCAATGCTTGCTCGTATCAAGACGCACCATGCCACACCTGGCAAATCCTTTCCGAAGCACCGCCCGCCACCAGGCGATGAAAAGGCCCATCCTCAAATCAAAACTCAGCAGGCCGAGTCCGACCGACCCAAACTCACGATCTTGGAGGCTCTTTGTGCCCACCGACATGGCCTCACACCGCAACTGTTAAACAATCAGCCCAAACAGTGACAAGATGAGAGAGAAACGGAAAGAGTGAGGGAGCTGCTGGGCTCTGAATCTCGGGGAGAGGTCAGCCGGGTCATCTTGGGCCATCGGGCTGGGCGCCGCGCCCAAAGATGGCTGGGATATCGACCAGAGTGGCACGGCCTCCAAGCCAAAGATGCCGGCCAGGGGAATGGCAATACAAAATTGTGTCCCAAGCAGTAAAATAAACAAGAGAGAGTTCATCTGTCACTACGCGAGAAGTGTCGCATCCAGTGGGAAAAGTGGGGGAAAAAATGTTGAAACTCTGAGCTCCAGTGAATGCACCAGCATCCGCCTCAGCAAGCTGAAGTTCCTGCCAGGGCGTCCAACCCAGCTTCCATGGAGTATGGCGCTCACCCAGGACCCTTCCGAAAACGTGCCAAAGGCCAACATTGTCTCCGCGCAACTGCGTTGACACCGCGCCTGAAGGCCAGCAAGCGGGAGACCTCCGACTTCATGCGCGGCATCTCGCTGGAGTCCACTAACTCGGAATTCAGCCAGGGCACTCTGCACTCTGCACGTTGCAGGTTCATTCCGCGCCCTCTCACTGCGCCTATGCTGGGGATGTGGCCCGAATGGCCATGACATCCGCGGCCTCGAAGCGGTGCTCCCTCGGCAGGGGTGGCATGTCGCACCTCGGGCGCGAAGCCCATCACGGGACAGAACGAAGACAGGAAAATCCGCAATCCCCTGGCGCCCCGGGCGCAGCCCGAGCCACGTTCAGAAGCACAATGGCCTCAGCTAAACGCTCCCAAAGTGGAAGACTGCGGGCGCGCGGGCTCCAGACTTCCCACGTGAAGGACGCTGGGAAGTAGATGCGCCTGTACCTCGCGCTCCAACGCTCCGACACTTTGGGGCAGTGCCTGCTCACTCGTCCAGCTCCAGAAACTTTCGGAGGAGCTTGCAGCGGGTCTAAGAGACAACATTCCGTGAACACTCGTGGGATTCTAATGCCAGATTTCACAGCACACGAGACAAGACAAGACGGGGGGCCGGGTGAAATCCTGGGAATCTTGGGAGCCTGATGCAACAAAACACACAGAACGCTGGTCTGAGCCGAATGAGGCGGACCACCTGTCTGACTCAAGAAATTCAGGAAGCAATTGTGGCCGCGGCCAGGTAACCCTTGACATTCCGGGCAATGACTGTGGCTGCCTGGCAAACCCGTTCCATCCACGCGGTCGCTGGCAGTCTGTAATGGGCAAACTGAAATGTGGGATCTGGGCCCTTGCCATAACCTGCAGTCCAATTCCTTTAATTTTGACCCATCTGTAAGTCTTGGTGAATTCCCTCGCCTGGCGTACGGTCCGACGCTCCTTGCGGCGCCGCACCCAGCGACGCACTGAAGACCTGGCGCGAGGCCGAAGCGCAGCGAAAGCCACACGCATTGCTCTTTCGCTCGAGCTCGAGGCTCAATGAGCTTGGAGGCGCGGAGCGTGAGCATCTCCTATGCCCCGAGACCATCCCGAGACCCTGAGACATCCTGAGACATCCTGAGACCCTCGGCTCTATCCGGTCCTTGGCGTTGAGCAGCAGGTCGAGCCCTTCTTCCTCTGCCAAGAAGTTTTGAACGTACCTGAGGCGAGCTCATGGCATCGTCCGAGATCACAGGCATGAGAAGCTAATCTACTAAAGACGTTGCAGCACTCCTCCGCTGGCGCCGCATGACCACTCAACCGCTGTGGCCCCGGGCGTCTGCATTTGTCGCTTCCAAAGAAACTTCCGTGCGCATTTTTGGAGCCTGAGCAAAGCAGGGGCTCGAGACTTGGCCGAGCTGAAGAAAATCACTCGTCCAGAAGGGGGTTGCACAACTAGCAAGAGCTGGTATGCATCAGACGCTTCGGGGTGAGCAGAGGGTGACTTTCACTGAAGTCGTTGAGTTACTTGAAGTCGTGTGCCGCTGCACGCCGCAACACTCAGCCAAGGCTGCTGCATGATGGCACTCCTCTGCCGAGTTTGTGAGAGGCGCACCTGGCCAACTTGGCGGGGGATCGGCCTGGCCAAAGTGCCAGGTCTGGGGCGCCGGCTTTCACTGAGCGGGCCTTGTAGACCTGACGGGGAAGAAGATGCAAAAAGATTCAAACATATCAAAAAGATCAAAGAGAGCTGCAAAGGAGAAACATGAAGCCAAACAAAAACTGCTGTCTGTGGTCCCCGCCCTCCAGCATCCCTGGATGGCGAAAGCTGCACCTCAGAACGGAATTCCTTGCCTCACCCTATCCCTCCCTCTTGCTCCAGACATGCCCAATCCGAGGCTGTGGCTGCAGTAGGCTGATTTTACGTAGAGCTGCCTAAGCCTAAGTGAAGCTGGCATATTTCGAAGCGATGCACACGACATGCATGTCAGAGCATCCAATGGGGGAGGCAGTAAAGCCAGGATGTGACCTCCTCAATAACTCGTGCGGCAACACAAAACCATCAAATGCCGGCAAAGCATGTGTCTTCTGGGCTTCAAGCTCGTCAGCGGCCTGTGCCATTCATGACGAGCGTCTGCAAACTCGATGAAGAACCCCATGAAGAACCCAAAGCATTCTGAGGGGCTTCCTGATTCCGTTAACCCAAGGAATGACATGGAAACTGTCACCGGATGAAGCTTGAGGATCGCCTCGCAAATTCTTACAGCTCCACCAGATCCCGGTGCATTACTTCAAGGCTTGAAGGGTCCCGTGTACGGGCACGAGATCGCCCCCCCAACTTCCCTCCAGCTTCCCTTTGGCTTCGGCTTGCCTCCTGCAGCAATTCCTGGGGCGGCAGGGGATCAGCACACGGCTTGGCGCGGAAGAGGAAGGAGCTGGCCTCGGGCTGGAGACACCGAGACGCACCGAGACGCACCGAGACGCGCCGAAATCCTTCTGGGAATCCCTCAGCCCCTCGATGTGCTCTGACATGGCTGATGGCTGTCGATATTGGCTGTTGGGCCAGCCCCGGTGCCAATTGGGTGACTGATCGGACCGTACATCTTACGTGTAATGTAATATATGTATATATTTATATATACATAATATAAATATATACATACAAATATATATATATATATATAAAGAGTAAGCAGCACTTTTTCTGCGCACAGCAAGTCCAACTTTGTCATAAATAAAAAGTTACGTCCTCTTTGTGGTGGCTAACTAGCCCTGGGCCCCTTGCCCGTTTCTTGTCAATCTGGTGGCCTCAGGATTTCCCTTTCCCGCCAAGCCGAAGAAAGAGGAAATCCCCCCCCGCACCCCCCCTAGCTCTTCCGCCAAGCCGGAAGAAACTAGGGCGCTCAGGTGCCATTTTGAGGCCGTCTGAAAAAGAAACTCCGGAACAGCCTAGCCACCACCCCTTTTTCCCTCTTTTCGGGGAAGGGTGGGCGGGACCTTAAACTGACGTGGCTGCAACAGACAAGTGCTTTACTCTTTATACCCGCTACGTGAGTCCAAAGAGTAAGCAGCACTTTTTCTGCGCACAGCAAGTCCAACTTTGTCATAAATAAAAAGTTACGTCCTCTTTGTGGTGGCTAACTAGCCCTGGGCCCCTTGCCCGTTTCTTGTCAATCTGGGGGCCTCAGGATTTCCCTTTCCCGCCAAGCCGAAGAAAGAGGAAATCCCCCCCCGCACCCCCCCTAGCTCTTCCGCCAAGCCGGAAGAAACTAGGGCGCTCAGGTGCCATTTTGAGGCCGTCTGAAAAAGAAACTCCGGAACAGCCTAGCCACCACCCCTTTTTCCCTCTTTTCGACCTCTTTCCACGTCCCCCTGTACTGCGTCTCGACGCTCGCTCGAGCCTCGGCAGCGCACTTCTAAGTGCGTTTTGGTATAAGCGAACCCAAGCACTCAGTTGGGATTGAGAGAATCTCATCTCGGCTAACATTGCCAGCCCTTCGTTCAGGTAAATGCGGGCAGTCTTGGCTGCCTGCCACCTGCCTTGGACCAACAACCTGTCAAACTGGCCATGACGTTGGAACCAAAATGTTGCGCCACCCCTGCGCAGGCTATATGGCCGAAACTCAAACTCAGTCACTTGAATGTCAGCCAGGAGCTGATTAAAAGTCTTGCGCCAGGTAGACGGGGAGGCACACATATAGGAGCCGCTGGGCACTGAAAGCACCCACTGTTCAAGACGCCGCACCACATCCCATACGGTGATTGTGCAGCTTTCGGCAGCTCCCTGACGTTTGCCTCCCTTTGTCCACCCCAGCGAAACAACCGCGGTTTTGTGATCCGCACTCACGGAAACGTGACGAGCTTGAATGCTAAGCAACTCTCCAGTGCGTAGCAAGCCATAAAATCCCACAAGCAGAGAAAGAGCCATTCCGTGGTTTTCCTGGAACAAGCATCGGCCCACCATGGCCTTTAAAAGGCTCTCCGGGAACGGGGGAGCTCTGTTTGGTATCTCATTGCTGTTCCAGGCCTTCATGAGGCGCCATGCTTGGGGCATTTGGTGGCGGAGGCTGGGGTCCAAATCTTGCAGTCCGGCTAAGGTATCTGAAGCCAAAGCCCTGCCTTCTCCCTGGGACCACAGAGTCTCGATATAATCGGAGACCAACTCATCCATTAAAAGTTTCTGCTTTGGAATTGCGATCCCTCCATCTCGCAAATGTTTCAAAAAACGCGTCCGAGCTTTCTCATATCTGGTACGCGTGGCTGGCTGCACAGTTAAACTTTTGAGTGAACCCAAATCTTTCCGAATCTTTGCTCGCTCCCGTTGCGACCTCCCTTCAACGTGCTTCATTGCTTTAACCATTTGCGACGGACACCTCTCCTGCTTGGCCTGTCGGCCGGATTCTGGTGCGTGTGCACATACCCCCACAGGGGCTGGGAGCGTGTCGCGAGGAGTAAGCAATTGATTCGGGTGAGGGTTCTACGAAGTTTGCGGCTCGACGTACGGCCACGACAAAGGCTGTGCAGGCAAACCAGAGAGTCAGTGAGATGGATCCATCGCTTGTGCATCTGTCCACGTTGCTCGAGGCGCCACTTGACGGTGCTCAGGATGGCGCGCAATTCCAAAACGTTGATGTGGTCCGTATGTGATTTCCAAGTCCATCCGGCCACAGTTCTCCACCGCCACAATCGGCTGGGGATAGATGCTCGCAACCTGTGGAATCGGACATGGACATCGGTAGAAGCCTGAAGAAGGAGGTCCTCTCCTTTTATAGAAATGACTCGCAGGAACTTCTTCATGAGTTTCAATGATGAGTCAACCTTGGCGCCCCTGACAGCCCTCAGAGGGGGCCGCAGTAGTACTCCCTGAAAAGTAGGAGACCATCCGGGCGCGAGGCTCTTCACGATGTCCTGCAAAGACCGCGGTGCACACAGTCCCAACGTGGAAGAACAGCCAGTATACTAACCAGGTGATCACGAAGAGGTTCCAAGAATTGCCCACTAGACTAAGCCGGCAATCTTCGAACTGGATGTTGCCATGTTGCGACTTGGGCATGCAGGCCTTGGTGTATCCCAGCGGGAACCCCATGGCCACCTCCCGCTCTTCGATGTCAGGAGGCCGCATGTCGCCCTGCTTGTTCCACACACAGAACTTGTCCTTGTACTGGTGCGGCGGGAATCGGTGACGGTCAGCTTCCCACCGGGACCGCTCATGTGGCTGGCATGTTCCCAGCCCAGCAGGCTTGCGGCCAGGCGCGGGGGAAGGCCGGCTAGTAGTGAAGGTGGGAAACACCCCACTCGGAGGCGGCTTCCAACCCCCCTTCAAAAAATCTTTCCAGTCCACAGTAGCGCTTAAGCTCACCAGGCCGACATCTTTGCCAGGAGCCCCAGGCGGTTGCGGCTTTAAAACTCCTTCTCCACCACCCAGCTCCCAATCGACCCAGTACAGCCTAGGACGCCGGCAAGGACTGACCTGACCACTGTCCACATGCCAGGGCCCAAAACCTATGGCCTCACTCATGTGATGCATGTCACGGTCATCCATGGACGCAACACTTTCCATGAGGAACTTCACCTGGCACCATGGGAAACATTTGCGGATCAGCGCGGTAATCCGGGGCACCTCCGCAAAGAGGCAGCTTCGTGCATCTTTCAAAGCACCCTTCTTGTCAGCGTTGAGCCCGGAGACCCCCTGGCAAGGGGGTCCGGCTCCTATGAGCACTACTCCTGCCGAGGAGAACTGGGTGGACCACTGCAGAACGACTTCCTCAGTTACGGTGCGTACATCATCCCACATCACGGTTCCTGGGAAGAAGCTTTCGACCACCCTGCGGGCCGGGGCATGTGATTCAACAGAAATGTGCCCACACATAGGCAAGCCAAGCGCATCGCAGGCTAGGCGAAGAGCACCAAGGCCATCAAAAAGGCCTACCGTCAACACCTGACACATGTCATGGGGTTCAGGCCACTCCGCCCGGATACTGGCCTGGGAGGCATGAACTCCATAACTCGTGAGGCCTTTTGTGACGCAGATGCCTCCACCAGTGGTGGACGCATCACTGGCAGTGACATCTCCTACCAGCTCACCCCGGAAGTCCAGTTGTGCTAGAGGGACCAAACACAAGAACCGTACCAGCTCGGCCACCACGGCAGGAGGTAGAAGCTGGGGCTTGCCACCTCCCTGCTTCAGAACGCAATTGAGGGCACAGAACAGCGGGCGCCTGAACATAGCAATGTATACCAGTCCTCCGGCGACCACTTGCAAATGTTTGAGGCCAGCTCGGCCCCACACAATCAACTCCACCGCCACACCCATGTACTTCAGTACCTTTTCCGGGCGGGGATAAGCCACCCCTTCGTGGCCCCTGACGACCGCACCTTGCACCTCTGCCCGTTCAGCACTAACCACACTCTTCTTGGGATGCCGAGGCAGGCAGGCCGACTCGTAGGCCTTCCTGACAGCCTTCTGTTCCGGGCTCTCCCTCCCTTCCAGCCTGACGGCCAACTGGGAGTCTACTCTCGGGATGAAATCGAAGTTGTCGAGGTAGATCCTAAAAAGGTGTGAGCTCGCGGGGAAACTCTTGTCTTTCCGGATCTCTTGATCTCCCGTCAAAAGGAGGGGGTCCACGCTCCTAATCACGTTACGGTGCACATGCTGGGCGATGCTATATAACACTGTTAAGGAACCCCATAGGGAGGACCTTGGCGGCCAGGACGCACTTCCTCCCAGTGAGGGAGGAGGGAATGAGGTCCTCTGGGACAAGCTTGTTAAACCCCAGGAATCTTTTCCACGCGGGGGGAACCTGGAAGAGATAGAAAAAGCATCTGATGTCTTCAGACGACAGGAGGGCCACTTCAGACCCCTCCAACACGAAGGCGGACATCCCCGAAATTTGGGGCAACGTTCCAACGTCACCGGAAATACCTCGGCAGTTTCTGTTCAAAGGGATCAAGTTCATGATCAACCTGAGTGTCTCCTTCCCGTTCACAAACTCGCCTTTTCCAACTCCGAACATGCCATTCAGGAGGGGTTGACCTTGTATGTGGAACAGCTCATCCAAAGGCACCACCTCGCAGATCCCCTTACCCACCAAGCCTTGGCAAATAGAAGGCCACTCTTTGGCATCGGCAAAAACTCGGGGAGGCTTGCCTAGACTCATCTCATTTGAAGGGACCAAGAAGTCCTCGAAATGGTCCACGTAAAAGCGGGTTCCAAGGGTGCAAAGCTCAGCCAACTTGAGTTTCCCTACTTCATCCGGGAGAGCAGGGGCAAGGCACTCCCAACTAAGGTTGACAGCAAGTTTCACCTCATCCCCCTTGTAGTCAATGCCTTTGACTTTCAGGAAGTCCGAGAAGTTCACATCTTGAAAAACCTCACTCCAACTCTCACAAACCTCAACGGCAGCCGCGAGTTGTTTCACGGCCATGCGCCCAGCGTGCGAG